GTGGAGCGCGCGCACCCCGATCCCGCCGCTCCCGCCCCCCGCGGGCTTCTCTGCCTCGACGTGCGTTGACTTTTCAGACAAATAAGGAGGTGGAGGAGGCGGTTTGGGGGCGCGCCAGGCGCAAAGGCGGCCAGGGCGCTGCACAGACCGGCGGCTCGCCAGGACCAGGACAGAGGAGGTGCGGCCCGTACTGTAATAATAAACCTGCAGCAAAGGGCATCTGAGGGAAAGAGGACGGCGACGGGCGGCAGCTGCCTTCCCTTTTATGTGCCTGTCCTGAGCGCAGCAGAAAATGGTGCCCGCGGCGCTAAGGCGCACGTGGACACACAAAGAGCTGGCGCCACCGCGTTTGCACACGACCCAGGGTTAGTCCCACAGCCCCTGCTTGGGACGGGAGCCATGCTCATCCTCTTAACCCCCTCTCCGCCACGGGGATCCCGGGAGCTGGGGACACGCGAGGCCTGACCCAGAGGCCCTGTGCCTTGCGGTGGCGCGTGCATACTCACTGTTGCACACAGCCAAACGCTTGCACACATTTGCACGGGCGCACTTGACCCACGTGCACACAGAACTAGAGCTGTGACCTGGAGCCTTTGTCCTGGTTCTGGCTTCTCACATAAATATTTACTTGTGTCTCAATTTGACCTACTGAAAATGTACTTTATAAATTCCGAGACCGCTTTTAAAAAGTAAAGTGCTTTGCATTTTTTATATTTTAAAAATCTCATTGAAAATCTGATGATCTTCAAGCGAACAGTAACAAAAATTTCGATACAAATGCCAACTACTTTTGTTGTCAGTAAATATCTGTTGTTAGAAGGAAGACTATTTTCTAATTAAGTTGCTTTGCCAAAAAAAAAAAATAAAAACAAAAAGATATAAAAATTAATAGTGCCTTCTAAATGTGCCATCCATATTTTGTTACAAGCCATAAGCCAAAAGATTGGGTCCTTTGCCCTTTAGGAGAAGACTTCCCTATCCCTCACCCCCTCCCAACCCGCGGCTGAGTGTTAGGTGTAGTTCAACCAGGCTTAATTAGAGACTCCTTTTTTTTTGGGGGGGGGGGGTCTACGAGTAGGAGGAGAATTTAGCCAGGCTCCCCCAGGGTAGTTAGGAGGAAGTACTTAAAGGCTAATTCCAGGAGGCAGACTCCCTTAGATCAGCATCTTAGCTAGTTCTGGGTTGGGCTAGGTCATGTGCAGACAGGTTACATTCCAGCTGTTCATGTGGGGTCTTTGCATTCTCCCTCCAGGAATTTGTGAGATAATCATCAGTCAGGATGACGATCATACTTTCTGTCTAGCTGGTGCCTCATGGTCAGTATGATGGGTCAAATTTTTTGGACAATGCTCTTCCCTTCATGACATGAACAGTTCATCTGTTCAAACAGGACTCATCTGACTAGCTCACTGACTTCACCTAGGCTGTCTCAGTTTTACTTCTAATTAACGAAAAAGAAATGTCTTCCATTGTAACAGACAGAAAAAAAAAAAAGTAATGGGGATTTACAAACATTTACATTCTTAGGAACTTACATTCTTAAACATGTTTATAGAATGTATTACTTAGAGTTAAATAATTTGGGGTACAGAGATAGTACACACTAAAAAGCAACACTTTATGCTCTTAATTCTTTTTGTTGTTGTTGTTAAGATTTATTTATTTATGCATACAGACTGGAATACAGGCCAGGGGTTCAGGGGTGGCAAGAGAATTCACCAGAGACAGAGTGTGGAGCAGAACAAGCAGATTAAGGAAGTACATTGCTGAGGTGAGCAGCAGGTGAGACAGGAGAGGTCTGCTGAGCTATGTGGTCACCTCCCAGGAACAGGGATTGAACTAGCACTGAAGCAGCTGCCCCTAGCTTGCAGTGCTGCCTCCTAACCCATTGCACCACCAGGGAGTGCCTATGCTCTTAATTCTTGTTGTCAGAACTATAGATTGCCTTTCACATTACAAAAATTATCAGGGCAGCAAATATTAGATTGCCATTGTGTGTGATGTGTAAGGGGGCCCAAAATAAGACCATAAGACCTTCCCTCTCTGAATTAATCTGAAACATAACACTTTTTTTCGCATATATATATACATATATATGTATAAACATACATATATACATATATATACATATATATGTATATACATACATATATACATATATACATGTATGTATATATGTATATGTATATATGTGTGTATATGTATGTATATGTATGTATATGTGTATATATGTGTATATATATGTATATATATGTATATATATATACATTCTGAAGCCATTGCTAGTGAAATATCTCTGATGCCTTCAAGGCCAATATTAAACTATCAGGGAACAGAAAGGGAGGACTTGGAGGTGGTAAGTAGAAAGTTGAAGACTTCTCTTATGTTTGTAGCCCCAAAGGGCAGGTCAATGGCATCTCATCACTGAAGTCTCTGGCTTTCACCTTCAAGTCAGGCTAGAGAAGAGATCCAAGAAGGTAACCAAAAATCTATACTAGGGAGATAGGTTCAAAGAACATCTCCCCTCTCCCAGTACACACACACACACACACACACACACACAAACATACTGATTTTGCTGTTTATGCAAAACTCATCTAAAAGATTCTTTCAAAACACAGAGAAATTTTGAATTTATTGCATGTTAATTTTTCTTGTAACCACAGACATTAAAGGTGACAATAGTTTCTTTTTTTTTAAGAAACAAGAACACTGGGGCCCTCCCTTGTGGCACTACTGGTTGAAATGCTAGTTGCAGCCTCTTTAGCACTAGTTGTATCCCAGGCCAGAGAGGTGACGCACATGGTGCAGCAGACCTCTCCTCTCTCACCCGCTGCTCCTTTTAGCAGTGTACTTTGTCAATCTGCCTATTCTGCTCCCTACTCTGTCTCTGGTAATCCTCTCACCCCCTGCACCTCTGGCCTGTATCCCAGTTCCATATGCATAAATAAATAAATCTTTCAAAAAAAGAAATAAGATCACTGATTCAGAATCATAATTTATATATTGTGTTCCAACTTTCCAAAATCACTTGAGTCTTTTCTAGCTGTGGAGTACTGTGCTAACAACTAGGGACATAACAGAGGTCATATAACGTCACTTCATTAGGAAATACAGCCATAGCTGTCTCGCAGTGCTGCAGGGTGTCACACTCTGTTACCCTCCCATCTATCTATACACTGTATAATAGGCCCACTCTGCTGAAATATCCTTCCAATCCTGGTAATATTACAGGTGGTGTCCCTTGGAAGATGTTGCAGGTGAAAATAGATAGTCTCAGGAAAAATGTTAAAAAAGTGGGGTGGAGCTCCGGATAAGTGATCTATGATGGCAGAAGAGGGGTGTGAAAGGGATGATTTTGTTGTGCTTTAGTCTTGGTAATTTAGACTTAGTCTTGGTAATTTAGTTGTTGGATTTGGGCCTCCCATCATGCTGATTTTTCTAAAGACTGTTATAGACTGGCAGAGAAGATGGAGGCCTGGAGCCTGGCCTTCTATTTAGATGTGTGAGTATGGCTGTTTGTGGGAGCTTTGCAAGTAGCAGAGTGACTGAAACACTTTTTGGTTTTGTTGTTGTTGTAGTACCCTGGAGAAGAGGAGGAAGACTTGGAGCCAGGTGTCTCACGAGCTGTGACCTGTAGGAAAAGGTCAAGACCCTGAACCAGGCATCTTGCTGAGAAGACTGAGCGTGTCCACTTGTCGGTCATTTGGTGGCTATTGTTTTGAGTGTCACCTGTTTGGTGCTGTGCTGGAGCATCCCAGCACTCCTGGAGCATCTTCTGCTATTTTTTGCTGTCTTTGTGAGTCAGAAACGGCCCTGTATCCTGGCTGTCCTGTGTCCACAGTGGCAGGAAGATGCCATCTTAAAAATGTGGCTGTTTTTGCACAGGACTGAGTAACACTGGATGTGGCTTTGGCTAAGTTAAGGCAGTTTTTGGCCACAGGGACTTATTTTTCCTGGATTGTTAACTAAATCCCTTTATTTCCTGAGTTTGAGTAGTCTTGCAATTGTGTGTGGGTGAAGAACTCAGTGACACGTAAATTATTTGGGCAGTGGCCTCGGCCAGTTTGTGCCCCTAACAACTGCCCTATTACAGAGTAAAGATTGTACTTAGCATTCTATACAATGTGTGCTTCTAACCTTATCATCTATCTCTTCCTCAGTTGTAGAATCAGTCCTTTGCTTCAGTCTGATTGATACTTAGGACATTTATTAATCCCTAGACCATTAGCAATTAGAAAGCAAAAGTCACACAAATTGCACATATCAAAGGTTTCTCAACCTCAACACTATTGACATTTGGGGTTGGATAATTCTTCAGTAGGTCCCAGGTGGAGAATGGGCATGCAGAAAACACTCTCCTCTTCATTGTAGGATGCTTACCATTTCCTCTGGTCTCTATTAACAGGATGCCAATAGTAAACCCCTGTTATGACAGCTAAATATGAGTATAGACACTGTTCCTTGAAGGCACCAATTTGCCCCTGATGAAGATACACTGCCTTAAATATCAGATCTTAAGTTTGTGATAGAAAGAAGGCAACTTCCATTGAATCAAGAACACTGCATAGAAGAGAGAAAGGGAGCTGAATAATAATAAAAAAAATATTAAGAAAAGGACAGAGGACTTGTAGATGATCTCCTTAGCTACATAGAATTTATAGTTTGTGATGAGGGCAATGGGGAAAATCAAAGACAAAATTA